TGCAAAACCGAAGCGTTGTTGTTTTGCTGTTGCATTGAGGTAGTGAATTGGGCAAATCTTTTTTTAATGAATGATATATGTTAATGATTATAATGGCTCAAAGCACAGTGATGGGGCTAGATTTTTTTTTATGTTGCTCTATATCAGATTTGTGTGTGGGGTTGTTGGGGTACCCTTTTTTTCTTCCCTTATGATTGAAACTTACACTAGGGTAGTTCAGTTTAAGAACCAAAGACATAAGATAAACCATGTTGTGTTGAGAAAAGGAAATTTGGGCAATTCCATGATTATATATGGCTAAAACGCTATCCTTCAGTTATTATCTTTTGGGTTTTGGTTCCTTGCATTCGTTTCTGTGTAAATTTGCACATTATTACCTCTATACTTTTTTAGCCGTTTTCTAAGACTGCTATCAGCTTCCTGCTTATTTCTGTATTAAAATTCTTTATCCTTATTGAATTAGGTATGATGAAGCTTTGTCTTAGTTGAATGGAACTAAAGAACAAGGTCATATTTACATGTCTTTTATGCGAAGAAGCATAAATGGAGGGTCACCCTGCTTTATCCATTCAAAGGGTGGGGCCTAGACAACTTAGTAACTTCGGTGCATCTGAAGTTCTCTCTTCTTCTACTTTACCAGTTCTTCCAACGAATCTTGAGGCAAGGAAAAATGTTGATTTTATAGTTTTGAATAGACGCATTTTGATTTAATTGATATGATAGTATTCTGATTTAATTGCATCATTCGTAAAATTGATGAATCATATCCTCTCTAACCCCCGGTAAACCCTCAACCCCACCCCGACCCAAACACACCTCCCACCCCTTTCAATTGCACCCACAAAGTTAATGTTGACTTTAGAGTCAAATTTTGACTCCAAAATTAAAATTAAGTTGGAGGCGCAATTGAAGGGGGGTTGGGGGTGTGTTCGGGTTGGGGCGGGGTGGGGGAGGTTTATTGGGGGGATTAGTGAGGTAGGAACTAGGAACCATCAATTTTATGAACAGGGTACCAGAGCACATCCGGGTCAACCCATGACATTGATTCTCAATGTCATGGTAACTGGCCTCTATTTTTATTGGTGTTAACTCAAATATTTATTAAGTTCTTATCTATCATATAAATTAATTTTTTAATTTCTCATCCATCCACTTTATTTGAATCCAATGTATTTTTGTCATACAGAGTAAAATTTATTCATTGTTTCTTCTCCTAAACACCAAGGTTCAAATGACATTGAACCTTAATGTCATAGGATGACCTGGGGCCGCTCCGGTGCCCCGTTCGTAAAATTGACGGTTCCTACCCCCCCGGTAAACCCCCCACCCGGCCCCGACCCGAACACAACCCCCCACCCCCGTTTGGCATCAGCGTTAGAGATTAGCGTCAGCGTTTGGAAAAGGTTATCCGACGGTAGCTTTTAGCGTTAGCGTTTTCAGAATTAATTTACCCCATTAAAATTTTATCCAAAACGCTAACGCTAATCGAAAACGTTGTTCCTTAACAAAGCCAAAAGCTATTTTGAAGAAATTAAGTTTGTCAAACAATTTTTTATCGACGACCAATATTATTGATTGGTCAAAATAACTAACTCAACCTGTCGTTCAAACCAACCAATACAAATAACTATCCACCAACATCCAAGTGATCCAACAACTAAATTTTAATCAGGGCCATGATAGCAATGAGATCATTTGTATATACATGTTATTCTTTTCTCTTCGAGAATGCTAAAAAAACCAAAGTACAATGCGCTCTCCGTCTAAAAAGGAACGACACATATTCTCACCGAGTCTACGGGAGAAATTTTTTATTTATATATTTTCATTGATTAATTGATAAAAGAAAAAAATATTCTTATTATTTCTTATTTTGAAATACTTCTGGTGTAGTTTTAAAATTTATACTCTATTTTTTATTTTTATATTAATCTTTGAATAAATGAATTAAAAAAATTGATATTTTACTTTGCTTTGTCTAATGTGACAAACATTTGGAACTGAGATAATAGAGAAATATAAATTATGATAAATTAATTAAGGTTGAGGGTAAAAGACATTTAAATATTTTTTTTTTGCCAAAAAAGAAACAATGAGAAAATTTGTGAACTGATCTTTGTCCTTGTTTGTCTTGACTAGACTCGTACCCGTGCGATGCACGGACTGTTAATTTATGCATAATTAGTTAATATTTGAAATAATGAAAAATGTTACAAACCCGGAAAGATTACATAATTTAATAAAATTCCCCAAAAAGGGAATTCTATATATAGTAATGATCAAAGTCGATATGAAGTGTTAAAAGTTTTGGAACACTCCTTTATAATTACATTCGTAGAGAATGATACATTGCTAACATTTATCCTTCTAAATATAAAATTTCATAACAAAAATCTAACATTCGTTATAATCATTATTGGCATACGAATATGAAAGATATGATGTTTTACTTAAAAAATTAACCAAAAAAATAAATACATTCTCCATTTCTTGTAAGGCATACAAACATAGAAGATATTATATTTTACTTAAAAAATCTAATGTTCGTTATGTGTGTATATTTATATTAATATTATTCTTTGAAAGATATATATTCTCTCTCTCTTTGTGTGTGTGTGTGTGTGTATATATATATATATATATATAATTATTTATTTAGTGAGGTTACTAAATAGTTTGACAATTTGAATTTATGTGGATGTTTCCATTTGTTTATATGTCAGTTCATGACACATTTTTCTATTTTTATAAATTGGCTTATAAGTCCAAAAAATTAAGTCTCACCTACTTATTTTTAAACTAACTTTTTTGTTTATCCATTTTAATCAGATTATTTACAAAATATTTTTCACCATTTTTGAATTTTTCTAAATGATTATCTAGTCATTTTATCTTTACGAAAAATATTTAACTTATAAGAAACTTATAATTTAAACAATACTTAGCAGTAATATGTCAAGAAACACTAACACATTTCTATGTTTTTCTCCAATGGTAGAAAATTCACTATCTAAGATTTCAATGTGATGCTCACCCAAGTTCAATTATTAGAAAAAGTGTTGTCTATTTATTCATCATTTAGCTAAAAAAAATGTATAAGTAGATACTAAGTTGTAATAGGGAAGCACTTACTCTATCGCTTATTTAATTCTTAGTTTGAATTAACTCATATTTTAATGTACTCCGTATAAGAATGTAAAAGTTGTGGGCTTTACTTTTTTGATATTGAGAGTAATAAAAAAAAAGGTATTGTAAAATAAACTTAAAATCTTAAGCAAAGTTTAAACCATTTTAAATTCAAAGAAAATACAGTATCAACCCCAAAATACATCAATACATACTTATTACGCCGTGATCCGTGAAAAATACAAATCAACAAAATCATCATTTGCAATGTCCGTACTCTTCTTAATATGGAGGAAGTTAAATCTCTTACATGAGATGCCTAGAAACCGAATTGCTTATTTGCCTCTAAAAAAGTGCAGATGGCTCCTTCAACGCTTTCAAGCAACTATGCATGTCAAATTGGTCAACGCTTTCAAGCAATTATGCATGTCAAAAAAGTGCAGATGGCTCCTACAAACATGCATTTTTTACCATTTCAATAATTTTCAACTCCCAATATAAAGGCTGATTCCTAATAAAAAACATTATTCAAAATATAAATCTTAGTTAACCTCATGCTTTTGCCACTCATGTTTCTAAGTCATGTATCTCATGCACTTTGAATTGCATCAAAGATGGCTCAGGTATATTTAAAGGGAAAAAATCTTCACATTTCTTTCATCTACTCCTCACTGTCACATTAGTTTTCCCCTTCACTCCGGTTAAATTCTTCCATATAAAACACGAATTAAAAAGCCCATGTGTGGATTTCCACCAAATTATCCTATACGTGAAAAATTTAAAACAAAAATCAATGAGGAAGTCATGTTTTATCATCTCACAAAAGCATTCATAAAGTAGTGTGCCATATTTTCATTGCTATGTCTTTAAGAGAGTCGAATACGTTCCATTTTCAAACAAACGAAGAATTTATTTAAAAACAACACACTAAATGATTTGCTTTGTTAATAGCTTAAAGATTTATCAAACACACCTCTAAACCTCAACGAAAGAGATAGTGATGCCTCATGAATGGATCCACACGGAAAAGTTGTCAGACTAACTACGTGCTCGAGCCTGTAAAAACACATCCAATAAAGAACCAAAACTCTGCATATTACAAATGTTTCAGGAAAATATCTTAAGTAACAAAATTAGGACTAATGAGTTGTGTGTTAATCATATAATTCCCTGTACTTCTAAGTATTTGCATTCACCATCCAAATTTACATGCCCCTATTCACTTTTCATTTTATACGGAGTAATATTTATGCATATTAATACTCTTCCCCAAATATTAGGCTTCCACTGCTTATGTTTAATTTGTATGCCTCTAAGGATAGTAGTAAGAAATTACTGTGTACTAATGGGTGTAATCTTTTGCCTGGATTCGGGTCAAAGGCATCCCCAACTTCAAACCTGTTCTGTGTTTGCCAGCTGTGTGGATAAGATCACTCTCAAAATTGTCCACCTTCACATTACTTCCTCACATTATCTCTTTACCAACCTCAACAAATAAGTAATGAATATTTAGATATGAAAAGTGGTTGATATAAATCAATGGAAGAAGATGAAGTTAGGAACCAAGAATAAAATCAGCAAAATATACCTTGCTTCACCAGTTCATCTACCTTTGTAAAAGTACAAATATAAACTCCAAAGTCCATTGTGCATAGATATGGCCGAGACGTTCAAATCTTGTACCCAAACAACCAAGAATCATGATGTGAAACATGAATTTATTGCACTTTACCTCAACAAAACAAAAGTATATCAATTACTAAATTTGAAAAGGCGAAAGCTTTTAGGGATCTCTTTTATATACTTCATAATGTAAGAATCCATCAATGCATTGGTTCATTGAAAGTTGAAATATGAGAGTATCAATTTCTCTTACATCATAAAGATCAATATCAATTTCTCTTAAAAGCGAGACATCATTTGTCACCTGAAACAAAACAAATGTATTTATACCAAGCGAAAAAGGCACATAGATAGATTTATGGTACATCCTAATAAAGTAATAAAAGACACTCTTGTAATCCTTGAACAGTAATAATCCAAAGCAAACTCAAGTCTCAAACTATCTTTCCAAACATACTTGAAACTTGTAACAAACAAACAATGGGAGACAGTAACAAAAGAGGTGAATATTTACAATTATTGTTCAGAAATCATGTGACAATAAAAGGAAAAATAATCAATAATTCATTAAATTCCCGTATAAAAAAGGACTTTTCGTAATAATCAATTTAATTAATTGATTGAGATAAATTCTAAAAAAGCTAGAAATATTTAAAGATTGTAACGAAATTCTCACATGAGTTTAAACCTGGAGGGACTGCCTTGCCTTGGAAGTCGGGGACCAAAGTAGCTTCATTTAAACCACCAGGGTGCAGGGTCACTTTGGGTATAATAGGAACCCCTGGAGTGCCATAACAACATCAGAATTAGGAGCTTCGACCACGGGACTCACTAATACATTTCATCGAACAGGTGGTGACTCCTTTTTACATGTACAATACGCAAACTAAAACGGGACAAAGACCTTACGACGACCAAAGCAAAGTAGAAATAGAAGCAAACACACTGCAAATTGTCCAGACTTGTGTGCTAACCTCTGTAAGTTTGGGGTGAAAATTTATCTCATCTCTGTAAATTACATCTCAAAATAGTAGAGGATATCTAGGAAGATGGTCAGAAGCCAAATCGAACCTGCATTGTCATCACGAAAAACCATGACCATCCGACCTACCACCATCGTCCCATGGATGTTTTCTTCTATGAATACAAAAAACATAAAATACTACAATGAAAATAGAGAAATTATAATGGATAGAAAAGAACTATACAGAAGGGTGTTATCCACCTGGTGTTCTTGGGGTCACACCCAGTCACAATTCGCCACTTGTACCCTTCAATCCCAGGGTAGCAGACCTTCATGGGCATCTCCCCGACCAGCTCGTGCCAACGCGACTCAATCAAGTCCATGATTTTCGACTCCTGGTCGGGCGTAGCCAGGGAAGAGAGGATGGCGATGCAGTTCCCCAGGGAAAAGAGAGAAACTAAGATATGAAATTGTACCAAATTACCAAAAAATGCAACGATAAAAAACAGAGAAACCAAGATATGAAATTGTGAAATGGAAGCCATAGATTTAGGGTTTCGAGAAGCAAAGCAAATACCTTGAAGCTGAACTGTCTCCTGAACCCTAGATTTGGTAGTCTCGAGAGATTTCCTGAAAGATGCCGACACGGCATCAACGCGCCGCTGCACGGCCGGTATTCCGGCGACGCAAGTCACCCTCAGTTCCTCCACCGGGCCTGCATAGAATGTTCTCTTCAGACATCTCCATGCTTCTAAGATCCATTCGGAACTCAGACGTGTATGAACAGCGGCTTGTTCAATGGAATAATAATATTGCTCCTTTGAATTATGGGGTACATGATAGAGTATATATAGAAGAGACTCCTAATACAACTAGGAATAGAGAATAGAGACTAACTAAAATATTATTGTCTAACATCCCCCCTCAAGCTGAACTCTGGCTGAAGCAAGAGGAAGCTTGGACACTAGCTGGAAACTGGAAACTTCGAGAAGAGAGAAATCTGACGTACGCCGGTGGCTACTGACGTCGTTGGAGAAGAGAGAAGTCTGACGTGCGCTGGTAGCTGCTAACGTCGTTGGAGAAGAAAGAAATTGGCGTGCGCTAGTAGCTGCTGACGTCGATGAAGAAGAGAGAAGGTTGACGTGCGCTTGTAGCTGCTGACGTCGAAGAATAATAGAGAAGGCTACTGGAGGTGCCTGTTTGACTGAAGATTCTTGACATTTTTTGTCTTTTTCTTGGATCGGGCAATGCCCTATTTCCTTCTTGAAGGGGTGAGTAGTAGAGGTCTTATTTCCTCTTTCACTACTTCCCCTCTTGGCTTTGCTTTTGTGCTGATTTACTTTGGATTTTTATTGGTTCAACAGAAGAGAAAAAGAAGGGAGGTTGATGATTAGAATGAGTGATTTTAGAGAGAAAAAGTAGGTTAAGAATTGGAGATGGAAAAAAAAATTTGGGTCTGAGATTTTGATATGGTGAATTGGAGAGAAACAACAATCATTTTTTTTTTCTCTTTTTTTTTTGAGAAGATAGGATGATCTGAGAGAGTTTGTGAGAAGTTGGGTTTTTTTTTGAAGAACCATGGAGATAACAAGAGAGAAGTTCCTCCTTTGATTGTTTTTTTTGTGTGATTTCAACAGAGGTTTTTTTTCCTTTCATTTGAATGGAGAAGTTGATTTGAGAATAAAGAAGAAAAAGAAAATAAAGGTGAATAGGGTGGAGCCGTTGTCGCCGAAATTACCGGCGGCGGCGGTGGGAGCAAAGAACTTTTTTTTTAGGTCACCAAGAGTGGTGGCTCTGATACCATGTTGAAATATTAGAATAATAATATTGCTCATTGAATAATGGAGTACATGATAGAGTATATATAGAAGAGACTCCTAATACAACTAGGAATAGAGAATAGAGACTAACTAAAATACAACTTCTACCATAACTAGGAATACTTAATATTATTGTCTAACACGGCTAAAGTAAGGCAAAAAGACGATCCGGAAGAACCTGCGACGGACCTCGGTTGAAGAGGAGAGCAGCGACAGACATGGCGTAGATCTCGATATGGAAGAGATTACCTTTTTTGGAGAAGCTTACTCAATACACTGGCGAAGAAGCTTACATGATACGCTGCGGATCTTTTTACGGAATAAGCCAGCCCATTAAACAATGAACCGGCCCAAAAATTTGGGCGGGAACACTGTTCACACAATGCACTTAGCATTGTATATAGAAGGATTTGGTCAATGGCAGGACAGGCCCAAGGGTTGCTGAGTAGCCCGATTGGATCGGGCCTAATAATATAAGGGTCCAACTATATTATAAAGCCTAAAATTTTATGGTGTTTGTTGGGTTTCGAACATAGGTACTTTGTGGTACCAGGATATACTCCAATCCACTTAAATTTATAAGGTCATGTTTTCTCCAACTTACTTTTTTTACTTGTTACTTATTCTTATCAGAATTAGATCACATTACATCCGAAATTGTTTTATATATAACTATATTTAGATTAGATTAGATTAAATCAGACCAAATCAGATCAAATTAGATCAGATCAGAACTTACTCCAAACAGATCAGAACCAATCAGATCAGGTGAAGAGAACATACTCTCAATATGTTGTTACCTACATTACACAATAAGCTAAATATTGATGCGTTGATTTCAATAAAATTTCCAATTATTTTGAAAAAACACAAGTAGTATCTAAAATACTTGTTTTATAAACTTATAAAAATGGTTCAATAAATTAATTAATGAAAATTATTTACTTCCTCCGTCTCGCTATATTCGTCCACTTTTGACTTTTGGAACTGTTCATCTAAGCATTTTGACTCATCAAATTCTCTCAATGTGTAAGCCTAAATATAGTCATGCGTGATCTTGTTTGATTTGTCTTAACATATAGATTATTGATATATAATTTCTATAATTTTTTAATATACAAATTACAAGATAAAATGGATTAAAGAAGTGTATTGGGTGGTGTGCAAAAATGAAAGTGGACAAATATAGTGGGATAGAGGGAGTATGTTTTATCCAAAAATTAATATAAATACTTATGTTTACATACTTTAATTCGTTAGACTCTTGGGGATAATGAACTTTTTTCATCTTGGCTCAGGTCATGAAATTTTGAGGATCGGTCCTGGTTAATGGGTTGGACCCATCTCCTTGCCCTTGCTTTGATATCTTACATACCCTTTTGTGCTTCACACAATTATCTTTAAATAAACGATCAATAGCATCTCTAAAATAATGTTCAGAAGCAGATTTGCTCGATCGTTTGAGAGTTATGAGCTAGTTAGAAAACTTTATGCTTATTTTTTCAGTTTTGGCCCACAGTTCTTCATTTCACCTCAAACAACTCTCATCATATAATTTATTTTAAAATGTATAAAAAACGTAGAGAATATTTAAAAATATCTTGACTGACCCAAGATTATGAGTAATACGGAACACGCCTAATATAAGACTAAAAGTATTAACAAGCCTGTGTTGTCACACATCCATCTTCTCATGTTTTTATCTATAGTTTCCTTTGCTAGCCCTGTAACGAATAATAGTTACCATAATGGATGTTATACTATGATGTCTATTTATGTGTTAAAGGGATATAACATGTTTCTTATTACACTGTAGTTTTCATACATCAAGTTAGTACTCCCTCCGTCCATAAATAAACTTTACATTACGCGTTACAATGTTTGACTGAAGTTATTTTCCAATCATTTTATATGAAAAATGGTATATAATTAAAAAATAAAAAATTACATATTAAAAAACTATATCAAAAGATCTACAAAACTAGAGGTGACATGATTATATTATTTTATCAAATGAGTGACGAAAATAGGCCAACAAAGTGAATAAAGTTTGACCCCGTGAATATTGAACGTAAAGTTTATTTGTGGACGGAGGGAGTACAATTTTTGATATGGTGCACTACAATTTATGTAGTCCTTACAAAACCTAGTTTAATAAATTCTACCATGCTTTAATCATTACAGAGTGTATTGTTGATGATTACTCATATAGAGCTTGAGTATACTTGCTTGATTCCATATATGTGATTAAATATCTTTTCATGCAATTTGTGTCATGGTTGAGTGTTCGTAGTGATAATTGTACTGAATTTGTACATGAGAAAGACGGTTTCTGTGAACGTGAAACTGTCAATTATTCATAAGATGTCATGTGCCTCAAATCCTTAAAAAAGTTGCACGGTGGAACAAAAACATTGCCATATTCTTAATACGGTGTGTGTATTTCGTTTCCAAGCAATACTTCCAATCAATTTTTGTGGTGATTGTATTTAGATTGTTCTGAATTTCATCAACTACACACTCTTTGCGTTGCTACACTCATGGTAAACTAAATGCAAAATTAATTTCCTGGACTCATACTTACCTGTTTGTTTACATATTGTGTTAATTCATTAAATAGTCCTTTTCATTGGGGATTTCCATTGTTAGACCATATTTATTAAATATTATAGTGACAATCGGTATTTATTGGGCAATCCACGTTTAGTCTCCCGACTACTTTTGCCTCTGAAGAGTGTTAAACAATGACTAAGGGCCTGTTCTTTAGGACTGAAAAAAAAGAGCTAGAAACTGGAAGAAACGGGAAGAAACTGAAAAAACTGGAAGAAACTGGAAAAACTAGAAGGAAGATCGCGAACATAATGTTTGATAAATATGAACTAAATATGAAAATATCCGCATTATAAAAGACTATTTAGAGAGTTTACTTTTTAAAAGCAATAAAAGTGTATGATTGTATATAATAAAAATTAGTAAGCCAAAAACTTCATTTTTTAAATATGAGAATCAATTTGGTATGAATATAAATCAAAAAAGAAATAAGAAATCACTCCAAGTAGAAATAAAATATAACATTACAATTATTCTAAAAAAATAAAAATTCCATAATTTTTGTTTTTCAAAATATGAGTTTGCACTTTGACATTATGACACTGTATACTTACTTCTCATTGTTTTTTTATATTATAGATTAGCATAATTAACATCATTCACACCTATTTCGTACTCCAGAGATAAAAAAAATGAAGCTTCAATATTGACATTTCCTTCATTTTTTACCTCTAGTTTAGTCATTCAATTTACGTAGAGCCAGAGGTATCTTGGAAACATCTTCAATTAACATTAGAAAAGTAAAATAAGTGATGGTAAGGATACTTCCTCCATCCTAAAATTAACTTCTCACTTTGACTTTTGCAGTCAGATTTCTTAAACTCTGACAGTATATTACAAAAAAATATATTAAATTTTTCGTATAAATTTATTATCAATAGATTCATTTTGAAACATAATTTTGAAATATATTATTTTTATAATATATATATATATATATATATATATATATATATATATATTTATATAAAAATAGAAATATTAATGGTCAAAGTGTCATATTGAAAACCGTAAAAAATTAAATGAGAATTTAATTTTAGAATAAAGAGGGTATTTTTTTAATTAGAAAATGTGAAAATAGTAAGGGCGTGACCACCGTAACTACCATGCACCCCCATCTCCAAATCCCTCTCCCAGTGTGACGCTGTGTGCAGCTCCTCCCGTCTTCATTGGTTCACTCCTTAAGGTCTGAACCAGAGAATTCATACATACACACACACACACCCATACGTATAGAAGAATAAAAAGGGATTCGAGGAATAAGCCAAAAAAAGAAAGAAGAAAGGATGAAACACCACCATAATTTGACCTCCTCCGCCGCGGAGACGGCGGTGTCTTCATCGGCTTACCAACCGCAGCCTTTCGTACAGCCGCCTTCATCGGTGAGGGCGTCTCCGTCAGTGCCATCATCGCCCCTGCCGTCGGAGAAACCCGTGACGGCGGCTGAGGATCCTGCAGCTGCGAGGGATGCATCATCGGTGACCACAACGGCGTCAGAATCTGTGACGGTGGAGAGGCGAGGCGAGTACGCTGCCGTGTGCAAATGGGCCATCGCGAATTTCCCGAGGATCAAGGGTCGGGCACTGTGGAGTAAGTACTTCGAGGTTGGCGGCTATGATTGCCGCCTGCTTGTTTACCCTAAGGGTGACTCCCAGGCTTTGCCTGGTTACATATCTATCTACCTGCAAATTATGGACCCTCGCAATGCAACTTCGGCCAAGTGGGATTGCTTTGCTAGCTATCGCCTGGCCATAGAGAATCCAACCGATGCCTCCAAGTCTATCCATCGTGACTCTTGGCATAGGTTCTCCTCGAAAAAGAAATCCCATGGCTGGTGCGATTTCACACCCTCAAACTCTATCCTAGACCCCAAGTTAGGGTTTCTATTCATCAATGATTGCCTCCTTGTAACTGCTGATATACTAATTCTGCACGAATCTGTTAGCTTTTCACGTGAGAGCAATGAATTGCAGTCAAGTTCCTCATCCAATGCTGTGATTACTGGTCCTGTTGGGGATGTTTTGAGTGGGAAGTTTACTTGGAAGGTGCATAACTTTAGCTTATTTAAAGAAATGATCAAAACTCAAAAAATCATGAGTCCCGTTTTCCCAGCAGGGGAGTGCAATTTGCGGATTAGTGTGTATCAGAGCTCAGTGAATGGGGTAGAGCACTTGTCAATGTGTTTAGAGAGTAAAGATACTGAGAAAACTTTAGTATCAGATAGGAGCTGTTGGTGTTTGTTTAGGATGTCTGTGTTGAACCAGAAGCCAGGTATGAATCACGTGCACAGGGACTCCTACGGGAGGTTTGCTGCTGATAATAAGAGTGGGGATAACACGAGCTTGGGGTGGAATGATTACATGAAAATGTTGGATTTTGTGAGTTCCGAGTCAGGCTATCTTGTTGATGACACTGCTGTGTTTAGCACCTCATTCCACGTAATTAAGGAGCTAAGTAGCTTTTCAAAAAATGGCGGAGTATTTGGAGCAAGAATAGGGAATAGTTCTAGGAAGTCTGATGGGCACCTGGGAAAGTTCACTTGGAGGATTGAGAATTTCACAAGGTTGAAGGATCTTTTGAAAAAGAGGAAGATTACAGGTCTTTGCATAAAAAGCAGAAGGTTTCAAATCGGTAATCGGGATTGCCGGCTTATTGTTTACCCTAGAGGTATTAAATGTTAAAGTGGATGAAATTTTATGTATTTTTACTGTTTTTTGTATCTCCATATTATTTAAATCTATTCCACATTTCAGTTTGCAATAATCAAGCATGTGTTGATCATCATTTCTTTTTCTTTTTTTCATGTTCCCATACAAGGTTATTTTGACCCTTTGTTTCAGTACTAGATGAAATTGATAGCTAAATCTGTGTGTGTAGCTTTTAATTTCATTTCTAAAATGAGGTTTGGCAATCTTGGTAGTTTCTCTTGGTGCTTTATGCAGTTGTTAATTTAAGGTCTATGCAGAGAGTTGGTGTTTTCCATTGCACGGTTTGCACCCAAAAAAACCCAAAAAAAAGTCGAAGGTTGGTCAACCGATCAAGTCCTTTGGTGCTTGGTAATACTTGATCTAGATCCACTGCCTGACTTTGAATCCAGGCACCATGCCTTGCACACAAGGTCGGTTCGATTGGTACGAGGCCCACTAATCACAGAAATCTTGAAGCTCAATAGCAGAGAATGGCCAACCATTGTGCCTGGCTTCTAAGCCAGGGAGAGGATCTCAATAGGTCTTGTGCTCCACACCAAACCTCATTGAAAACATGTTTTGGTTTTGTGTGTTCCTTCCATAGATTTTGCAGTTTGAAGCACACTTTTTTCTAGTGTGTATATATTAGGTAAGCACTAAGACAATTCTGTAGTGCACTGCTAAATGCCACAAGTTTCCTGTATAGATGAGGTGCATAAACCATTCAGTAACATCAAACTTAATTTTTTTCAAGTGATTTTTTCATTAGATCAAATGATGATCTTTTTTGTTCTCTTTTATTAAACTTATATTGATCCACATGTATTATTTATCAGGTCAAGCGCAACCACCATGCCACCTTTCTGTATTCCTTGAAGTCACAGACTCACGAAATACTAACAGTGATTGGAGCTGTTTTGTGAGCCATCGGTTATCTGTTTTGAACCAAAAGATAGAGGAGAAATCTGTAACCAAGGAATCTCAGAATCGCTATTCTAAAGCGGCAAAGGATTGGGGCTGGCGTGAATTTGTGACACTGACCAGTCTATTTGATCAGGATTCTGGATTTCTTGTTCAAGACACTGTTGTGTTTTCTGCTGAAGTCCTCATTTTGAAGGAGACATCTACAATGCTAGACTTTAAAGATCAGAATGATGTGTCAGGTTCCCAGTTGAACAGAGTTGGGAAAAAGAGTTCTTTTACATGGAAGGTGGAGAACTTTTTGTCTTTCAAGGAGATAATGGAAACAAGAAAAATATTTAGCAAGTTCTTTCACGCAGGTGGATGCGAGCTCCGAATAGGTGAGTTAGAATTTTGTTGTCATCTTTAATGTATGCTTTTCATTGTTGGTTTTCCATTGTTGATTTTAGCTTTCTTTTACACTACAGGTGTTTATGAATCTTTTGACACTATATGTATATACTTGGAGAGTGATCAGTCTGGTAGCGATCCTGAGAAGAATTTTTGGGTTAGCTACAGGATGGCTATTGTGAATCAGAAGGATCCTTCTAAAACGGTATGGAAGGAGTCTTCAATCTGCACTAAAACATGGAATAATTCTGTACTTCAATTCATGAAGGTGTCAGATATGTTGGAAGCGGATGCAGGATATCTACTACGTGACACCGTTGTCTTTGTTTGTGAAATCATGGACTGCTGCCCTTGGTTTGATTTTTCTGACTTGGAGGTTAGCAATTCAACCATATATGTATGTTTCCCTATTTTCCTCACTTGGTGTGGTTGTCGACATTTTCTTTGTGTATTTCACCTTGAAAGTGTTAAAATTTGCGTTGACTTTCCAAATTTGCCCTTCATATCAATATTAATTTTACTCCATAATACTCCAAATTGACAATATTCAAAAAAAATTTTTAAGCACAATTAAGAAAATGACAAAGCCTATACACCATTCAAGACAATAATACTCCAAATAACAGAAAGATTATACTTGAGAATCGAGATACTCCGTATATCTTAATTTGCCCCCTCCAAGAAATTCTACTCCAGATTTCTTCCAGACATGTCTCCAGTGCGCGGCGATTGCTAGGCGGATCTATCATTATAGACGGTGGTGAATGAGCAGAGGGAAGGCAGGGCAGCGATGGCAATGACCACAAGAAGATCTGACCTTTTGAAGGCATCCGCCAACTGAAGGCAAGGCAGCAGCAACGATTAGCAGTGGCCACAATGGAGGATGAGGAGATCCGAGCATTGGACAACAAAGGATGGGCAAATCTATGTAGTCAACATGCTGACTGGCGACCGGCATTGCTTGATTTGGCAGTTGAGGTGAGGTGACGTGGTGGTGATGGCAACGACTCAGGACATGTACGACAAGGCTGGAGGTTGCGACCTGCGATGCACGAAAAGGAAGAAGATGTGACACTACTGTATGCTGGAGGCAGGCGATGGTGGATAGTGACTTTAAGTGTGAGTGACTGAGTGTGAGGATGGATTAATTAGGGGCGAGGGTAAAAGAGACATTCTAGTATGTGTTTTTGCCAAAAAGGAAATGGGAAGAAAATATGTGGACAGCACAAAAAGGAAAGTGAGAAGAAAATTTGTGGACGGAGGGAGTTGCAATGATCCCAAAGGCAAGTGGAAAAAATGAATAAGTTATGACGATTACAATCTTAAAATTTCATCTCATTATTCCTTTGACATAAGGTTGCTTCAGAGCATCCACTATTAAGCATAACCAGTATGTTTTTTTCTAGCAAAAAGTTGATGTTAATAAGGTGATGTCGTGATGATGACGTCCAAGTGTGTAGGCCTAATGATTGATGCATCTATGTGCGCAAATGTCTTGTTGTGAAGGCTGTATTTGGATTTTTAAGTTCTCATATGTCTGCTCAGTAATTTGTCAATTGTATTTGTCAATAACCCTTGTTGGGGCAAATGATATGGAGTTAATTTTGCATTTGGTTTTGTTGTCATCTTATGGTGGCATGTACCTTGTGCTTTAAAAGTTGATAAATCACTAGTTACCGTGAAATCTATTAAGCTTAACGATTGGTTGACCTCACCATAAGCTGCACCCTACATCATGGATTTAGCTTGCTAGGCAGGCATATGCCTGCTTAGTAGTTGTTAGAAATAGGTGGCTCATTTACTTGAATGTTCTCCATTGGAATGTTTTACATGGAAGATATATTTTTATGGAAAATGTGTTTTTGAAAAAATATTATTCTATATATAACTACAATATAATGTCTGACGGACAAAATAAAAAGAATCTTTTTGTTTTAGGAAAATGACATTTCCAAAAAAGAGGAAGTTATGTTTCACAATAGTTCAAAGAGGGATTAAAACCATTTTTGGCACTCTTTAGTGCCTATTGATTTGTATTTTGTTGCAAGTACCCATGCGGATAGGGAAATAGGTTTATGTTGAAATATCATATGAAGTGGCCTCATTAGCACATATCAAACTGCACATTTCCACAAATCCCACTCAAAAGTAGGGTATTGGGGGGTGGGGGTGCGGTAAGATGTACGCAAACCTTATGTCTACCTCAAGGAGTGTAGTGAATGTTCCTTAAACGGCCTCTAACTAACCGTTACATGTAGTGTGAGGAGTGAGTACAAAAACCTAGGACTCTATTGGATCTACATGCACACACATGACACCCCCACAAAGACTCTACAATACTAAGATGATGTCTCACATTCTTCAGAGGTCAAGTCCCAAAACAGTTTAAGATTGCCAGGTTCGACCTCTCATCCTATGTCCTAGATGACTGGTCTTCTCATCACATGGTTTTATTCAAAATAATTTTTATGATTCTTTTTAAATTATTTATATAAGGTGTAACATGTGTGAGGAGGTGGAAAAACATGAAGGTTATTAAGAGTGTAAGGTAAGCTATGTGTTTTGAGTGTGGTTAATAAGAATAGTGTTAGTGTTTGTGGTGTTTCCAGATTTTCAACATGATATTAGAGCTATGTATTCTGTCGGGCAGGGTTATTATTCCAGCCACCGGAGTTACTACTCTGGCTTATAGTCCGTGGTCACTGCCTCCAACATTTTGGACAAGAAAATTATTTTTGTTTTCTAGTTTTGCTTCTAGTTAAAAATCTCAAATTGCAGAAATAATATGGAGACCATATATGCAGGAGAAAAAAAGGATTTCTTAGTCTTAGTGTCGTGTTCAATATTTTTCAATGTGGTATCAAATAGAAAAAAACAAAATTGTTGATGTATGCTTGGGTGAGCACCAAAAGATAAAGGTGTTGAAGGACAATCTAGTCAACAGTGAGGGTGTGCCAAAAAGTGTTCATGGGTTAAGTGAAGCTTTCAAGGTCAAAGAGAAGTTCAAGGGTTTTCAATAGCAAAGGTGTTGAAATGACAGAGAAGGGTGTTCCAATGAGAGGGGTTTAATAGCTCAGTGTGTTCAGGTGAAAATGTGTCCTGAAAGTTCCAAGTGCTATTATGTTGGTTTATAGGCCTAAAGAATTTTATACGGAGTATGTTGAGTGTTGAGTTTTTAACAATTACATTCTCATCACATGGTTTTATGGTACATGGTTAGCACTAGGGATTATTACTTCATTCGTCCTGTGTGTTATTATTATTTTGTGCAAACTCCCTCCAGTCCATTTTTCATCCATGTTACTTTTTGCACATGGACTGAGGGAGAGCAAAGAGTACAAATAGACCAGTATGCCCTTTACTTTATGTTGGGGTGGGTAAAAATTGCAAGGAAAAGTAAAATTGAAAATAGAAGGGGAACAAATTGATCAAATACATTGGGACAGAGGGAGTAATAAATTTGAAAAAAATACGATGAAATAATTTTATTGAAGTATTTTGTGAGACAAATCTTGTGAAATCAATTTTATATTATAGTTAAATGTATTTTTAAATTTGTTAATGGCAAAAGTTTGCATTTTTTTACTGCAAAAATTTGAAGTGGGCGAATTAGAATGTGCAATGTGTTTGTGTTTGTGTGTTATATTGTTATGTGTTATGAGTTTATTTCATGACATGAGTGTTTAGTTGTGTCCTTGTTCTCAATAATATGCAGGCAGGATGAGCTTAGTTTTATATATACTTTTAGAAATGCTGTAAAGAATCTGTCAAATAGGCGCCATAGTGCTTGTTTCCAAACAGCATCTTATTTGCAAATTATGTACTTTTTTGGTACTACCTCGGTCTCAAATTATTCAGTCAGTTTGATTTTTTGTATTCAAAGTCGGCATATTTTGATCAAAGTTTGACTGCAAAAACCACTGGGACTAAGCTAAAACTTTGATCTGCTACCTCACATTCAGATCTTATTATCACATTCGGTAGCATACTAGCATATGGATACTTCAATGTGATTATAAGATCATCCCTCTAATTTATTTTTTATGTTAATTAATACAGATTAAACTTTGATGAACATCACCTGTTAAATCTGTTGGTAGTGCTGTCAGGAAGACAAGAAACTTTAATGAATTATCGTGTTTGTCTTTCGATACTAGCATCTTTGGATCATTCCTGAATAGTGTATGCCAAACATAACCAGCAGATTTATATCCAATGGCTTCCACCTGCAATCTGATGTTCCTGTGGAACTTGACTGCTGATTGACTTTGTAATGCTTCAAATGTTGATTCCATTTTAAAAGTGGCTCTTGCTTTTTGCTAGGTATTAGCTTCTGAGGATGATCAGGATGCTCTGACTACTGACCCCGATGAGCTCATTGATTCAGAAGACAGTGAAGGAATAAGTGGAGACGAGGAAGACATCTTCAGGAATCTTCTTTCCCGAGCAGGGTTTCACTTGACTTATGGAGACAATCCTTCACAGCCTCAAGTTACTTTGAGAGAAAAGCTTCTCATGGATGCTGGTGCTATTGCCGGTTTCTTGACCGGACTTCGTGTATATCTTGATGACCCTGCTAAAGTGAAGCGTTTGCTCCTTCCCACTAAAATATCTGGCTCTAGTGATGGAAAGAAACTCAGTAAGAATGACGAATCTTCTCCCAGTTTAATGAACTTGTTGATGGGGGTAAAAGTTTTGCAGCAGGCAATTGTTGATCTGCTTTTAGACATAATGGTGGAGTGTTGTCAACCTTCAGAAGGCTGTCCTGGTGGTGATTCTTTGGAAGGGAGTTCCAAACCTTCTCCAAGTGGTAGTGTTCCTACTAGGACTACCAGTCCATTAGAGAATGATAGGGCCAATGGTGCCAATGAGTCCTTGCAGCTTCCTCTTCATGATAGACTGGATTCAGTAATGGATGTAGGTACAAGTTTATCCGCTGTTCGAAGTTCAGATGTTGACGGCAATGATAACCAAGAAAAAGCATTTCCTGGACAGCCTATATGTCCACCTGAAACATCTGCTGGTGATTCTTTGGAAAATCCTTCTGTTCGTTCTAAGGTATAATTTTGACACTGTATGTTTAAGACTTATTTTATCAGTATAGTGTATCATTCACAAAAGTTGCGATTTCAGACAAAGTGGCCGGAGCAGTCTGAAGAGCTTCTTGGATTGATTGTGAAGTCCTTGAGAGCACTTGATGGAGCTGTTCCACATGGATGTCCCGAACCAAGGAGGAGGCCCCAGTCCGCTCAAAAGATTGCACTTGTACTTGATAAAGCCCCAAAGCATCTACAGCCTGACCTTGTAGCCTTGGTACCAAAATTGGTTGAACACTCTGAACATTCACTTGCTGCGTGCACACTTTTAGAACGACTTCAAAAGCCAGATGCCGAGCCTGGACTGAGAGTTCCAGTAAGATGAACTGGAATTTTTGCTTCTGGAATGTCTATTTAGATTTTTTCATCTATTGTGCATTGGGACTTGGAAGTTGGCAGCTAACTGGTTGCTTGTACAATTTGCTTGCTTGTTCTTTATTTCACAGGTTTTTAATGCACTTAGTCAGTTGGAGTGCAGTAGTGATACATGGGAAAGTGTTCTTTTCCAGTCATTTCACCTTTTGTCGGGTTGCAATGATGAACCTCTTGCTGCAACAGTGGATTTCATATTCAAAGCTGCAATACATTGCCAACATCTTCCGGAAGCAGTATGCATAGAAAAGTGGATCTGTAGTTTTAAAGATGTTACATTTTTCCCTTTACCAAATTCATTTCTTTTTCTCTTTGATGCAGGTCCGAGCAATCCGCATGAGGCTAAAGGATTTGGGGGCAGAAGTTTCCCAGTGCGTCCTTGATTATTTGAGCCGTACAGTTAATAGCTGTGCTGATATTGCTGAGGCAATCCTTCGAGATATTGATTCTCATAATGGCTTCAGTGAGAACTGCTCGGCAGCTCCATGTGAGATTTTCTTATTTGGGGAACACTGTCATAACACTGAAAGGTCTGATCCTGTGGATGAGCATTCTTTCGCGTCTGGTAATAATGTTTCTGATATCTATATTTTGATTGAGATGTTATCCATCCCCTGTCTTGCTGCTGAAGCATCCCAAGCATTTGAGAAAGTTGTTGCTCGAGGTGGTTTGCTGGCTCAATCTGTAGCCATGGCCTTGGAAAGGCGCCTTGCTCGGAGATTAAATTTAACCTCCGAATATGCTGCTGAAATTTTTCAGCACACTGATGTGGTCGTGGAAGGGGAAGCCATCGATCAACTAAGGGCCCAACAAGATGATTTTAATTCAATTCTTGGTCTTGCTGAGACAGTAGCACTTTCAAGAGACCCGCATGTGAAAGGCTTTGCCAAAATTCTCTACACCATATTATTCAAATGGTATGCTGACGATTCTTACCGATTGAGGATCCTCAAGAGACTTGTTGATCGTGCTACCAGTATAACAGAGAGTACTCGTGAAGTGGATTTAGATTTAGATATTTTAGCAACTTTAATATGTGAGGAACAAGAAGCTGTTAGACCAGTTCTTGGTATGATGCGGGAGGTTGCTGAACTTGCAAATGTGGATAGAGCAGCACTCTGGCATCAGTTATGTGCTAGTGAAGATGAAATTCTTCGCAGTCGTGAGGAAAGGAAAACAGAAATCTCGAATTTAGCAAAAGAAAAAGCTGTTATGTCACAAAAGCTTGACGAATCTGAGGCTGCTAATAACCGTCTTAAGGTCTCTCTTTCTTTCAACATGCATGTGTCTCTCTGTCTTGGGAATGAAAATTATACGATTAATTGATACTCAAGTAACTTCATAAATTACACTAACATCATTTGATGCAGTCTGAAATGAGGGCTGAGATGGATCGTTTTGCTCGGGAGCGGAAGGATCTTACTGAGCAATTACAAGATATCGAGAACCAACTTGAATGGATCCGGTCAGAGAGAGCTGAAGAAATTGCAAAGCTCATTGCTGAGAAAAGAGCATTGCAAGACCGCTTGCATGACACAGAGGTTCAACTTTCCCAATTAAAATCTCGAAAGCGAGATGAACAGAAGGTATGATGATTCAGATATCTGACAAAACTATATATGTTACGTGTATTCCTTCCCTACCACCAAACATCGTGTCTTCATCGTCATGACTTCATGTTACAAACTTAGTTGACTATGATAATCAACATTTTCACCATCATTGGCATTGATTATGTCCCTCTATGTCCTGATGTATTGTTCCGTTTCGTCCTTTTTGACTCGGTGCCTTTCCCTTCCCTTGCTTTAGCCATTCACTGCTGTTTCTTTTTATGAATTTGTGCTGCTGATGGATGATAATAACGAAAATCCAATGTGCTTCCTTCTGCCTATCTGTCTTTTAGTTTACCCTTCCAGTGTTTGGGGAAGAAGGCACTGTCATCTATTATTATTCTTTTGTTTCTTAGCACACCTTAGACAATGTATTTCTTTATGCTGCAGAAATTAGTGAAGGAGAAAAATATTCTCGCCGAACGGTTGCGGAATGCTGAAGCTGCAAGAAAAAGATTTGATGAAGAATTGAAACGCTATGCTACTGAAAATGTTACTCGAGAAGAAATACGGCAATCCCTTGAGGATGAAGTTCGCAGGCTGACAGAAACTGTGGGACAAACTGAAGAGGAGAAGCGTGAAAAAGAAAAGCAGGTTGCTAGATGTGAAGCTTATATTGATGGCATGGAGTCCAAATTGCAAGTCAGCGAGGTTAATCCCCACCCCCACCTATTCCAAAATTAGCCGCTAGCTGTGCTACTGATGGCATTATGTCGATTTTCTATGTGCTTCTTTTTTTACTACTTGGAGACCTTTTTTGAAAACGGCTTGTTGAGTTACTAAATTTAAAAATTAACCAAAACGGATCAGAACTCACCATAATCCCCTTTTTTTTGGCTCTTTGTTGCAGCAATACATTCATCATCTTGAAGTATCTCTTCAGGAAGAAATGTCAAGACATGCCCCACTATACGGAGCTGGCCTTGATGCTTTATCGATGAAGGAGTTGGATACATTGGCAAGGATTCACGAAGAAGGGCTAATGCAAATCCACACCATCCAACAACGGAAAGGAAGCCCTGGTGGTGGAAGCCCACATTTTGTAAGCTCCCTAAACCTTCCGCAGCACAGTAATGGTTTGTTCCCTGTTGCTGCTGCCCATCAACCTCCTACAATGGCTGTTGGACTACCTCCACCCATTTTGCCAAACGGGGTAGGTAGGATCCATGGTAACGGGCATGTAAACGGTTCAATGGGACCATGGTTTAATCATTCTTGATTCTTCTTGGGGGCCGTTTGGATATTTAGTATCATAGCAGTCTAAGTTTGACTATAAACCCCTCTCCCCTACCCCCTCCTCTCTCACCCTAGGAGTCCCTACCCTAGATGTGTAGGGCTCTGGCTGGCCATACCATTTTTTTCTTCTTTTGAGCTGGCATTTTCGGCTGAAAGGAACTATTGGAAGGAGAGTATGGGGGTGGGGAGGATATAAACTTTCAGATTCCAATATAGCACCAGCCAGCAATTGGAAATGCTTCACTTTTTCTTCCACCAAATCAATCATAAGGCATTTTCTTCATTTTTTTATAGATATAGTCCTGTTCATTCTCAGGGTTTGATTTATTCACTGTGATGCACCCAGCTGCCATCTTATAAGTTATAATCCCTTTCAATTCATCATAAGCTATTTCTGCGCGTTTTGCATCACTGAGAGGTGTTTGGCAACGCTTTTAGGGACTGGTTTTCGGATTTTTTTTTATGTTAGATTGAAGAGTCTGGTAATGTTTCGAAGAGGTTTCGGTGCCTGATCCTTAGCTTTTGAGGGCGATTCTCGACTTCTGCATTAGATAGAAGCACTTTGATGATCTCAATTTTCAGTTTCCAATGGAGACTAGAAAAGCAGAAGTTGAGAAGCAACTCTGAAGTGTTCTGGGATTTTGTGTCAAAAATGTTTTTCAAAACTTTAAGCAAGTTCAAACACCCTGTTTGAACTTGTGTTTAAAAGGATACTTTTTCGTTTTTTGTTTCCTTCATAACTCTGAGAAAGTTAAAGCACCCTATTTGATTTTGTGTTTAAAAGGTACCACTTNCCAAATAAAATAAAAATAAAACTTCAAGCAAGACCAAAGTAACGCAAAAGAAAGTATTAAGTTCAGCCATTTTGTTGTGCAATCTTTTGTTCTCTACCTTTTATTCCTTTTCCTCAGTTTTGGGGACTTAGAAAAATTGGTCTAATGAGAGTCTAATTGTGTAAATAACTGACATATTATTAACGTCTTGCTAAACACGCAGTTAATTAATTATTTAAGTGATTGTGGAGTTGAATTAGCGCCTAATAGGGTGTTCGTTACTGGTTATAAAAATGATTTTTAATTTCTACTTTGAATAGAATCAGTGTGGAGTGTTTGTAACACTATGATTCTCGATTTTTTTTGGAGAGGAAAAATTAGAAGCCGAGAAGCTACTTTGAGTTGCTTTTAGATTGTGTGGTTAAAATAATCACTTTCTCTAAAATTTGAGCAATCCCAAACACCCTCTAAGTGAAGTTAGGTGATTGTCCATTTTTATAATACTACTCAGAATCTTTTATATTTTACTAAATTCATAATATAAAAAATTACTCCTATAAATTTCATTGTGTGAATGGTTAAGTTTTTTACCCAAAAAAAATAAAGTAAATAAATAAATTAATTAGAGATTTGTTGGTGTACATCTTTTTCTTTTTTTTGTAATTTTAATGGTTCAAATAGTTTCATTTAGGAAATAATAGGTGTTCCTAAGGGGGTATGTTGCACAATTTCATTTTTTGTTGTTATGGATCACATTTAACAACTATTCATGTGCGATAAATTAGGGGTGGTGGTGGGAATCAGGTGTGTCACCTCTAATAAAGATATTTTTGAAGGACTTACCAAACAATATTAATACATATTATTATAATAGGAGTTTTGAAATTTGGAAAAAATTACATTCTAAAATTTGACATAGAAATATCTAGAAAATTTTGAAATCATGGTTATTAGAGACGTGCAAGGATGGTTGATAAGTGTTCGGTGTCATATGAAGGTCGGCGATGGTGATAGGCGTCAAAACTCATCTATTTTGCGCTCCCCAAACATACAAAAAAAAATTCTTAAGTTTGGGCCTCGACATGATGATAGTATCACCGGATTGGGCCAAGTCATTCGGCTGCAAGCCCACTGCTCCTTCGCGGTGTTGGGTCTCTCTTGTTTTGGGCCTAAAACTACTTGGTCAATATCCCTAGTTTATAGCACAATTGCATTATTTGCATATGAAGCATTATCACTACACTTGTGGCAAAGAAAGGCAAACATGTTCTTTTGGCTATTAGAGTTTAATGTTTAGGTAATAACAAACAGACAAACTCATTTGAACCCCACTAGAGTAGGGTATGGAAGGTGTGTACGCCGATTTTACTCCTACTTGAAAGTAGAGAGACTTTTTAATGTTTAGGTAAGTTCACCCAAAATGTCATCTAAGTGGGCAACTTCTAGGTGTATGTATGTAAATGAAAGTGTAACAATCTTCTGTCTCCCCCCAACAAAGAAACCGAAATGCCACGTGTTGATAGTTTATAGATTCTCCAGCACGGTCTGAAGTTGAGGAACACGGCGGCGGAAGAGTGGCTCTAGGCGAAATGCTGGGACGCCTTTCCGCCACCTATTGCTATCATACATTTCATTCCATGCTTGTACAATCTCATCAACCTTGAACCCTATTAAAACATATGCAAATAGGTTAACAATACCAACAAAAATGTAGTACTTCTGTCTCTATGTCCATTTACAACGAAACTAAAATAGTCGTAGTTGACAATATCTTAGCTTCGATTAACAAAGGACTATATCAAAATGGCACATTAAACTTTCTTTTCTTTTTACTTTCAATGAAGTTTTAGGTAGTAAATGCAGCAATGCATCAAGCGTCTACTATTGTCCTATAAACAGTCACATTGCTTTTAGTAGAAGCAACAACAAAAACCCTGCAAAATCCCACAAAGTGGGTTCTGTTGAGGATGAGTATACGTAGACTTTACCTCTATGTGGGAAGCTGAGAGGTTGTTTCTTCTCAAAAACATAGCCGCGTTGCTTTTAGCACTTTTTTTATAATAAACAAACAAGGAAAATATAGTTTTTCTCCACAATTATCCCTCAAGTGAGGCCACTTATGTGAAATCATTTCGAAAGAGAAAGCGCGATTAATGAAAAGTAAAAAGCCAATGCCGTTCAAATGAGGAAAGTATAACAAATAATGCAAGGCAGAGGGAGAACTCCTTAGTTTTGATAGAGTAATGGCACAAGAATGATTACCTTCCAAAGCCATATCGTTAGAATTGTGGTTCTTTATCATGACAGCTATATCGGTTTGAGATGCACCAGCCAGTTCAAACTTCTCCACTGCAACTTCCAAACACTCCTCCCATGTGGGTAAACCCAACTTGTACTCCATGACGGATCGCTCATACAACAAGGCACCCCATAAGAGGTAAATTTGAGACCTCATATTAGCAGCTTGTTCTTCAGCCACTTCAGGTTTGACATCCTTTAGTAGCCCATCCAACCCCATCTTGGACAAAAGGGATTTGTGTTCTTCATGTTTGGACAGTCCGTTAAGCCGCTGTTCTTCTGCCTCCTCCAGCATCTGCAACCCCCTCTCCATATTGTCCTCGGCGTCATTATACATTTCTAGCACCTCGGCAAATGGACCGCTCTCTAAGTCGACTTTTCTCCCAGTACCAACCATGTAGTACCAGTGTAGCTTTGCTTGTTCAAATTTTAGTTGTCCCAGAGAAAGAAAGCCTTCATAGAAGTCTGGCTTGAGCTTGACAGCTTCCTCGTACCTCCTTGCAGCCATTGTGTATTCATTTTTGGCCCAATCAAATGCGTGTTTGACCTGTTCCATGACTGATCCCTTAGACCCATCTTCTGTGAAGTACACTCTCTTCCTTGCCTTGGACATGTGAACATTTCCCCAATTGAACAATGCCAGTGCTGCCATTTCTTGGAACTTTTCTGCAGCAATTTCGAAAAGTTTTTCTGCATTCTCATTCGTGACTGAATCTTCCATGGCTTCTAAGTATATCTTCATCCCTATCTCATGGATGTCCAAATACGAGTCGCATTCGAAGCCAACAAGATTTTTGAAGAGTCGTGCGAATTGTACTATCCACTCCTCTATGCAAATCGGTCCGGTCTCCTCTTCCCTCCCTCTCTCCAAATTACTTGTGGAGGATTTGTACCTTCTTCTCTGAAGTTTTTCCTCTTCAAACCATTCGTAAACCGGTTCTTCATCAGGACTCACTTCTCTGATGTACAACTTTAAAAAAGTGTTTTTATCAAGAGATGAGGCCTCAGCCATCCTAAGCTCAGCAGTCGTCGTGATAGTGACCAGGTCACCTTCTTGATCCTTATACTTGATGAGTGCACCTGCCATGTTTGGGAATCGATTCAAAACCGTTTCTCGCACCAATCCAATACTGCAATTCATTGGTAATTGTGCCCATCTTATATCCTCATCAAGTACTAATTTCACAGTCTTCATATCAGGTTTCTCTTCCTTGATGCTTATCGTCTCATCTACCACCACCTTGTCTTCAGTCTTCTTTTCTTCCTCCTCGACCTTTTTCGACTCAACTTCCTCTACCTTCTTCTTATCATGTTTATGGCTCTTCTTTTTCTTCACCTTATTATCTCTTACTTTGCTAGCGGAAGTGATTTGCGGTTCAACATGCTGCACAATTTCTTTATCTTCAAGCTGTAGACCCTTCCCTTCCATCTGCTTCTTGATCCTATTGGAAAAATCCAAAGCGGACAAATTATTAGGTTCTATACCCAAAGCATGATTCACGTCCCTTTGCGCCAAATCAAGCCTGTGCAAAGATTCATAGCATTTTGCCCTCCTAATCAAAGCTTTGGTGTACTTGGGAGACACTTCAAGGGCTAAATTGCACTCGTTTATCGCGTTTGGATACTCGCCGAGCCCCATTTGCATGTAGCAAGATGCCAAGTTAGTGTGCAAGAGAGCAACGCCGATATGGTTCTTGGGGAGCAAAGCGAGGGCTTTCTCGTACTTTAACATGGCGCCTTCATAGTCGTGCCTTTGCTGCAGTCTTTTCCCTTCTTCCTTCAGCTCTTGTGACATGTCAATGAAGACTGTGGTGTCCTCATCAAATGCCTTGCAGCTATAGGACCGCTCCACGGCACCTTTCCCGAGTGCCTTGAAGCTCCCATTATTCGACCTTGACACTACACTACTGTTCTTCCTAGCAAAAGGCTTCCCCATTGATTCAGCCCTTACAAGTCCCCTGCAGAATCTCAAAATCAATGCTTTTTGACATTACAACAACAACAACCCGTTAATGCCCTACGGGTAGGGTTCGATATTTTGAAATTCCAACCTTCTCAAACAGCACTTCCATTCATGCAATTGTAACACAACCCAAAAACCAAAACCATTCCCACAAAAAGATGAAGAAATACAACCCAAAACCATAGTGTAAATCTCAGGCTTACACAATTCCACTCCATCAACAATGACCATAAATCTAATCAAA